CGGTGCGGGCTGGTGAGCGCGGTCCGTGACAGAAATCGGTTGTCGTTTCGGTGCGGGAGCGGGAAGGCTGCTCGCTCCGGCTGCCTGGGGACCCTCCTTCTCCTGCCGCGGCCTAATCTCCTTCCGTTCTGTCCGCAGAGGACGGACTGGTCCGAGCCCTGGCTGGTGGGGCTGGCGGTTTTCCACCTCCTCTGCTTCCTCCTGACGTGCGTCTCTTTCCAGCACTACCGGGTGCAAGTGGGGCACTTCCTCCTCATGGGTGAGTCCTGTCTTCGGGCCCTCCTGAACCGGCATTCGGGGCATAAAGGGCAGGTGCCTGGTTTAAGCTGCTAGTACGGTCAAATAGCTTCTTTTGGTCTCTTAATGGTAACCATTTTCTTCGCGTTGTTATACTTTGCAGCAGATAAATTGCATACAAATCAGTATTTGTCTTGTACATGTGTCTATACATGATAAACTATTATAGAAGCTGCTATGACCTCAAGTTGCGCTGCGTGGGGAGGGGGTTAGATTGGATATGAGGAAAAATTTCTTTATTGGAAGAGTTGTGGAGCATTGGCACAGGCTGCCCAGAGAAGTGGTGGAGTCACCATCCCTGGAGGTGTTCAAAAAAATGTGTAGATGTGGCACTTCGGGATATGGTTTAGCAGGCATGGTGGTGTTGGTTGATGGTGGGACTTGGTGATCTTACAGCTGGCTTCCAACCTTTATGATTCTGTGATAAATATGTATTTATTTACTTTCTGAAACTGTATGAAGTAGTGACTTAAAATTCTCGCCTTAGTAAGTGATAAGTAAGGTTTCTGCATGGTAAATGCTGTGTGTCCAAGAAATTGTTGCTGTGCTGGAGAAGCAGAAAAGAAATCCCCTGAGAGCCATCAGTTCCTTCTGTTCTGCCTTATTCTAACGCTGCAGTTCAGTGAATATGATCGCAGAATCACAGAATGTTTGGGGTTGGAAGGGACCTCTGTGGGTCATCTAGTCCAACCCCCCCGCCGAAGCAGGGTCACCTACAGCAGGCTGCACAGGACCTTGTCCAGGCGGGTCTTGAATATCTCCAGAGAAGGAGACTCCACAACCTCCCTGGGCAGCCTGTTCCAGTGCTCCGTCACCCTCAGAGGGAAGAAGTTCCTCCTCATGTTCAGACGGAACTTCCTGTGCTTCAGTTTGTGCCCATTGCCCCTTGTTCTGTCACTGGGCACCACTGAAAAGAGTCTGGCTCCATCCTCTTGACACCCACCCTTGAGATATTTCTAAGGTCCCCTCTCAGCCTTCTCTTCTTCAGGCTAAACAAGCCCAGCTTCCTCAGCCTTTCCTCATAGCAGAGATGCTCCAGTCCCCTCATCATCCTCGTAGCCCTCTGCTGGACTCTCTCCAGTAGCTCCTCATCTTTTTTGAACTGGGGAGCCCAGAACTGGACACAATACTCCAGGTGGGACCTCACTAGGGCAGTGTAGAGGGGGAGGAGAACCTCCCTCGTCCTGCTGGCCACACTCTTCTTAATGCACCCCAGGATCCCATTGGCCTTCTTGACAACCAGGGCACACTGCTGGCTCATGGTTAACCTGTCATCCACCAGCACACCCAGGTCCCTCTCCACAGAGCTGCTCTCCAGCAGGTCCACCCCAAGCCTGTACTGGTGCATGAGGTTGTTCCTCCCCAGGTGCAGGACCCTGCACTTGCCCTTGTTGAACCTCATCAGGTTCCTCTCTGCCCAACTCTCCAGCCTGTCCAGGTCTCGCTGAATGTCAGCTTTCAGCTGGATTCAGTTCTGGAGCAGGTTCACCATATGCCCTGCTGTTGATAGAAGAAAAGCAAGACTGGTTTGGTACATTGCAGTACCAGCTTGTGTTCTCTCAGCGTTTACTGCCAGACTTCAGCCTGAAAATCCACACTGGCTTTGCCTACCCAAAGCTGTGTCTTTATGGCTGACAGGCTGTGTCATCTCAGCGTTTATTGCCAGACTTCAGCTGGAAAATCCACATTGGCCTTGCCTACACAAAGCTGTGTCTGTGTCTGACAGGCTGACGATCTAGTGGCTTTGAAGAGAGTATTTGGTTTAATTAAGATGGCATGTATTTTAGTTAGATCCATATATTATGAACAGTACCTTGGTTCTAGCCATGGGTTGGATTTTCTGGTGGGTTGGGTTTTTTTACACAGTACCTCACTTCTGTCATGATTGAGGGGAAAAGTGAGGAATTTAAAGAGATTTGCGGGCAAAAAGCCACTTGAAGACAATGTTGACTTTTTAAAATACCAACATTAAGTACCCCAAAAAGGAATCTAGAAACCTTAGTAATTTCTGTACATCCACTTGTTACTGCAGAGTTGAAAATGATCTATAGAGGTGAAAATAATAATGCCCTGTTTATGCACATTAGACCTGAAAGTTCCCTATACAGGCTTTTCTTTCTTAAATTTCATATTAGACATTCAGAATTTCCAATTGCATGCTGTTTACTTTAGACTCTTTATCTAAAGTATTTCCAGTCTTACTAACACTAGTTTGAATGCCCAAGGTCTAAATGCATTAGAAAATGCAGTGGAATGTATCGTTGCTGGCTTTTTAACCCAGATATGGTATAAACTTGCTGTTAACAAGAAGAGTGCATAAAAATATCCATACTGTGTCCAAGCCTTGCTTATTCCTGAAAAAAACTGAACCACTTTTGATGTGTCCGCAATATAAATAATTTTGTATTGTAGATAGTCAGAAATAACTGAGGAAATTAGGAAATTATCATTTGTTTACATTAACATTGGTTTATCTTGGCAGCTGAGCAACCGTAGGTATGTTTGTACTGTGCATTACTAAGCAGAAATAATCCAGATGATGGCCAGACAAGATAGCACTCCTTCATATCACCAAACTGTTTATTTAATTGCCTTGTGCAGGTTATCTTTAGCCACTGAATCTGGTGTTTTTTGGCTTTGCTTCTTGCAGAAGATGATGCAGGGACAAACTTAACATTTTGTAGTTGTATTGCTTTTCTGTTAAATGTGATTTCCCCAAATTTTCTTACTGTCTTGACGGCTTCATATTGCATGTAACTGAGTAAGAGTCTGCTGCTTTTCACCTGACTGCAGCAGAGTACTCTGCTATACACCTGTTCAAGCAATGTTTGTATTTTACCAAAATGCTTATATATAATTAGTACCCTAACATCAGATAGTAATGTTAGCTATAGCACTGTGACACTGTAACATCTAAAATGATAACTTTGTTCCCTACCCCTTCTGGGGAGTGCTGTCATTTCTTTTTATGGGCAGTACTTAATATTGGTGACTGTGATGCCCAACCAAAAAGATTGTTGGAAAAAATACTGGGGTTTTTTGTTATGTTTATTCCCTTGTATGCTGAGCTCTTGCTGGAAGCTCAGATCAGTAGGATTTTATGTTTGTTTGTAACATAGTGGGTATGTTTGTAACATAGTGGGTATGTTTTGTGATCTTTTTATATTTCTTATAGACTAAATCGGACATTTAAATCGGAACTGGTTTTGTACAATTAAGTATTAAATGTGTAATTTGATCTTCTGAGGATCAAGGAATTCTAGTATCTGGTATGTATACATCTCTAGTATACATGGCAGAACTGATGGCAGTTTATTTTTGAAGAAATACTGAATCTAATATTTTTCTTTTGTTATATAGTGGGCTTAGTGTACTGCGCTGAATATATAAATGAATTGGCAGCCATGAATTGGAGGTAAATGTTTTCACTTTCATTTTCTCATTTAAATGAATGTTCTTCTGAAAGCGTGCGCTTTTTTTCATATCATTCCCAGAAAGCATTAATTTAGAGAGAGTCACTCTTGTCTCATTGGTAGAATTTCATGACAGAGGGTCTGTTGCATTGATTGATAGAAAACTTTTGACCAAAACCATACAGTACAACATAGTTATCAGCTTATAAGAAAAGATAGTTTTTAATAGCTAGTGTGTATTTTTTATACTGCTTAAAATCTATGTTTATATGGACGGTTGTAAACTAACTAGTCAGAGAACTAAGAGAAAAGCAGAATGGGATGGTGAAGGGGAAGAGGATGTGAGATTTGGTGGGATTTTTGTTTTATTGAGTTTTCTTTGGTAGCTATTGATGCTTAATAAGCTGAAGTTAAACACCACTTCTCAAAAATATCACTACTATTTTATGTACGTTTTTACATGCATAAAAACGTTAGAATTTGCCTGTTTTACTAAGTCTGTGTACCAGAATTAAACCGATGGCTTATTTTCATAAGCACTGAACTAACCTTTCCCTGATGTAACTGGAAATTGTGTGTGTAACACTGCTTTATGCAGGCATCTAATTGTAAGTCATTATGTTCCGCTTCAGGCATACATGACCTATATTATAGCTTTGCTGCGCTTATTATTTCTATTATTTTTTTCTAATACAAGTAACCAAAATACCTAAGAAAATAATTTCAGACACTTCAGGATAAGCATGATTTCTGATGTACGAATATATGTACTATTGCATTCACATTAGTAAATTACTTAATCTATGCTTGTTTTATTCAGGTTTAGTGCAGTACATCTTAAAGAAAAGAAGGGCTAGTGTTGTTATAAATATTCATAAGTGATGAGATATTGACTGTCTCCTTGATCAGACTTAATACAGTAGAATGCTGGGGTATGCTTGGGGATGTCAAGAAGTAGGATAATCTGTACAAAGTCCATGTTGAATAGTTACCGTGAAAGTATAATGATATATGAATTATACTGAATAAAGCTTCGCCTTTTTTTTTTAAATTTTATTTCTTTCAGGCTATTTTCTAAATACCAATACTTTGATTCAAGAGGAATGTTTATTTCACTAGTGTTTTCAGCACCACTGCTGGTGAATACTATTATAATTGTGGTATGTATGTGTTCATTTATATGGATGCTTTCATTAAACTGGTAAGTAAATGCATGTGGATTAGTTAAATTTAATGATTTACTTACTTTTCAGGTCACCTGGGTTTACAGAACTTTGAATGTAATGACTGAACTGAAGACACTACAGCGGAGAATGAAAGCAGAAAAAGAGAAAAAGAAGTGAAAGTGCCTAACACTATTAAATTGTAAGATTACTTGTCCAGGTAGTCAGTTCTTCTGTACATTTGTCCACAAATGACAGTGTTTTTGTGTATGATGTCAAGAGGACTTTGCAACATGTGGCCATGGACAATTAGGTGAGAGCAAGCGTCTGACAGTACATTTGAATTGTCTGTGAAATTGAGAAACCCAGTCTCAACAGGTCTTTCTGCCCTTCAGTGTAAGATAGTTTTCACCATGACCAAGGCTGTTAGTATAGGTGAGACACAATCTTCCAGTCGGTTTCCATTTGCCTATGTATTTTTTAACTATGTCTTAACTGTATGTTTATTAAGTATCCTGTCTTCTGCTGCTTAAGCCAATTGCAGCTATGTTGTGAATTCCAGTAAATGAGGGATTGTATTCAGAATACCTCAAGAATCCATGCTTCTGTGAAGCGTTAAACTTCTTTATAAATCAAGTTTCATACTTCCTATGTGTATTGTGTGCCAGCAGCATTTTATAAATAAAATTATCCAATATATCTTGGAGTTAATTTGAGTTAATTTTTAGTAAGATTTTTTTCTTCCCCCCC